CATTTGGCCCTTGGCCACACTTTCTACATGATTAATGAGACCCTAGGAAGGAATAAAAATGGAATTCCCACACCCGATGCACCCATGGTGAAACAATAACTTATGATTTTTCAATATTTCCATAATATCTCATGAAGTTAAAAGTTACACAGAATACAATATACATGTCATTGGCCTCCAGCCTCATCTCATACATGTCAAATACAATACAAAAGGTGTACTTATGTACACATTACATACATGGAATCAAATATACACATTTTAACATGAATGGCTATAAGTGGCATTTCAAGCCAACCTTTACAAGAATTAAAACCTTAAAATCTACGATTATTCAAGCAATGATGAACATCACGAACCAAGTTTTCGTACCTGATCAAAACCCCTAGTAACTTCGGGGTGAGTAAACAAGTTTACTCGTAAAGAATGAGCATGCATCGACTCGATTTCTTTTAGATTTTTAGACTAGCATGAAACAATTCAAAAGGGTTATGCCACCTAACGTCTATGTCAAAGGTTCGACTCAGGGAGCATCCTAAGCTACTCATGCAATTGAAATGAGATACATGGCATGCATGTATACCGGTTATAAGTGTACTACATGAAGATGAAAACATGTGAGGTAAGTATATAAAACACAGGTATACTAAACGAGATCGGAAACACACAAGGCAAGTATACAGGACACGAGTATACTAAATGGAATCTAGATACAAGAAGCAAGTGCAAGATTTCAAGTGTGCTAGATGAGATATAAACACACGAAGCAAGCATAATATCTTTGTAATTAATAAGGTGAGAAGTACTCCCTATAACATGACAAGGTTCTTAGATCCTTAAGAGCTAACATTGAGATCTAATAGTTTAGAGATTTTTGCATGTTGATATAAATCATTACATGTGGTCCATGCTAGCTATAATCTAAGTCAAGTTACATGTATAGGATAAAGTAACCCGAAACGAGATAACTAGGAAAATTGACAAGATTGAAACAATTCGATTAACACGACAAGGACAAGGTGTGAAATCAAGGCTAATGCATAATATCCATGCAATTAAACAAGAATGGGACATTCCACACAACACAACGAGTTTAATACACGAAATCAAGAACAAGACATAATATCTATGCAAGTAAACAAGATTGGAACATTCCAATTAACACGAAAAGGTTTATACATGAAATCAAGTACAAGGTATAATATCTATGCAAGTAAACAAGTTTGGAGCATTTCACATACACGAAAAGTTTAAATCCTCAAGGAATAGCAACTTGAAATTTAAAGAGTGAAATCAACCAATGTGGAAAACTCGGATATCGCCCGGATCAAACTGTACTCTTGAGATCACTTTAGGGCTACTAACCCATGGGTACCATTCCCCTAGTGCGCACTATAGTGTAGGGAGCTCTCTATCTCCCGTACTAGAACCAAGTCCTAGCCATGTCAATTCTTGATTGATATCCCAAGTTCCAAAATTAATAAGTTGTGCAAGTCAAGATTGTATCAAAATACAAGAAATGCATTTACCACGTTTCATGCACAACCAAGATTTTGGAGCACACAAGTCATGCCCTAGATTCTCAACTATGATGGCATGTGAAATGTCAAGAAATCATGGTATGCATCAACATAGACTACAACCAAGATATAAATAGCACATAGAAGATGTAAATCTACCACGAATATAAGATTAATGATTTGATTACTTGTTTAACAACTCATGCAGAATTAAATCATTACAATGCAAGGGTGCAAGTTCATTAACCACATTAATGAAGCCAAGATACAATAAGTCATGATACATGCTAAAAAGGTAAAAACCCCATGAAATCCAAGTCCAATTCATTAGAACACTAAGTAGAAATTAATTAACCTAATTAATTGATTTCTCTAGAAATCAAAGTTTTCTAAAAATTTTCAAAATAACATATGTGAATGTCCATTCCATGGTGATTGCAATTATCACATCAATTCATAAAAATGAGCAAGATATAAACATGTATAATTTAATTAATTTAAAATTAATTAAATCTCTACATTTCAAAGGTTGTTCAAATGATTTTAAATTAATATATATCAAGCACTAAGTCATGGTCATACCATACATCAAGTCTAAAATGGAATACAAGAAAAACACAATTTATTAGAATTTAAATTAATTTAAATCCATTAAATCTCTAGATTTGAAAACTCATTCAAATGACTCCAAATAATTATATAATACAGATCAAGTCAAGGCCATGCCATATATCAAGTCTAAAGTGAGTTGTATGCAAACTATGATTCTTTATTAATTTCATAAATTGATATAAAATATGCATACAACTTATATTTCATACAAGGGCAAGTAAAACAACTTGGAAAGTAAATTATAACACCCCCTACCTCACAAGAGGATTGTTCATCTTGAATCCAAGGCTAGCAAGCACAAAATGGTAAACCCTTCTAGGGTTATGAAGAGGAGGATGAGGGGAACAAAAAGTATTCCCAAGTTAAAGCTTGGAAATCAATGGAAAGCTCTCAAAAATCAAGGTCAAGGCTTAAGGCTTCAAGCTCCATCCATGGAGGCTAGGGTTTTTGGTGAGGAAGGAAATGAAATAATGAAATGAAGTGTGAGTGGAGGAATTAGAAATCCTCCACTCACCATGTGATCTTACACTATGGTCAACACACACAAGTCTTGGTCAATTGCACAAAAACCCTTATTTAAAACCATAATCCCAAAGTGGCCCAAAAGTAATTTGCAAGACTAAATTGTGAGCCTACACTTGTCACAAATCCAAGGCTCCATCCTAGGCTTAATCTCAAACCTACACTTGTCAACCATCTAAGCCAACAAGTGCACCAATCCTAGGTCAACAAGTGGTTTAATCCCCACCCTTCACATGTCATGATCCGAGGCATCAAAGTGTTTCTACATAAATGTTAACAAGTAGACCAATGAGAGTGTGACACTTGTCACACTTTTTCAGAAATTGCAAAAAGGTCCTTTTTAAAAATATCTTCCAAATTAAATTACAAAATGGTCCCTAAGATGAAAAATAATTACTTTCAGTAATTACACAAGTGACCAAAAAAAAAAAAAAAGAACTCCAAGGAAAGTGTGCATCCACGCCCCTAAGGAAGAAAGTGAAAAAATGGCATGCATTTCTAGGAAAGTAAAAATACACATGGCATGGAATTTAAATATCATGGATGCATGCAAAACTAGAATCAAATCCGAACACGAAAAGTGAGGTTGTGCCAACAATTTGACAAACGAGAAAAAGACGAAAGATGAATAGTGTCGAAAAAGTAAAAATGTGGAAATGACTCGGTCCTCAAAGGAAGTTGTCAATCCAAATAAAAGAACCTCGGAAACAATTTCCAAGCACTCGAGACGACACCAAATGACGAGAAACAGAACTCAGAAAAGAAAATTAAACGAAAAAAATTTATCCGTAAAATTTCAGAAAAAGGAAAGGGATAAAAATGACCGCGTCATTACATTGCTATACTCGTTAACATACAAATTCTGCAATTTCACACTTCATATTGTTCCACCAGTAGTATTCCTTCAAATCCATATACATTTTAGTACTTCCTGGATGCATAGCATATATAGAACTGTGAGCTTCATCTAAAATATCTTCTTCAAAGAAACATCACTTGGAACACAAATTTGACTTTTAAAATACAAAGTCCCACCATCCACAATTGTAAATTCAGTTTGCATACCTTCTTGAAATTCCTTTCTTTTTATTCAAGAATACATCATGACTTTGCAATTCCTTAATTCGATCAAGTAACAAAGGTCTCACCGTAACATGTGCAACTCTATAATATTTGCTACCCGTGCACACTATACGCAAGATAGTCTCACTAAAGACTTCATACTCAAAGCATCTGCTAGTACATTGGTTTTTCTAGGATGATGGTGAATATTACAATCATAATCTTTATTAACTTCATCCAGTGCCTTTGTCTCAAATTTAAGTCCTTATGTGTAAACAAATACTTTAAACTCTGATGATCAGTGAATATTTCACAAATCTCACCATACAGATTATGCCTCCACAAGTTCAAAGCAAAAACAGTAGCAGTTAACTCCAAATCATGTGTAGGATAATTCAATTCATGATTCTTCAATTATCTAGAGGCATATGCAATTACCTTGTCATTCTGCATCAAAACGCATCCTAGACCCTGATGTGAAGCATCAGTATAAATTACAAAACCTTCACCACTACACGGAATAGTTAACACCGGGGTTGACGTTAACTTTTTCTTCAATTCTTCAAAACTTCTTTGGCATTCCTCAGTCCACATAAACTTTACTTCTTTTTGGGTCAACTTCGTTAATGGCAATGCAATATTAGAAAACCCTTGAATGAACCTTCTGTAATAACTTGCCAATCCCAGGAAACTTATGATTTCAGTCACACTAGTAGGCCTTTCCCATTTCACCACTGCTTCCACTTTTGACGAGTCAACATAAATACCATCCCCAGATCTCACATGCCCCAAAAATACAACTTTATCAAGCCAAAACTCACATTTGCTGAACTTAGCAAAAAATTGTTTCTCTCGTAAAATCTGTAGCATAATTCTTAAATGTTTTTCATATTCATCTACACTCCGAGAATATATCAAAATATCATCGATGAAGACAATAACAAAAGAGTCAACATACGGATGAAATACTGGATTCATTAAATCCATAAACACTGCTGGAGCATTTGTTAACCCAAAAGGCATTACCAAAAACTCATAATGGCCATATTGAGTCCGAAAAGCAGTTTTAGAAATATCACTATCCTTTACCTTTAACTGGTAATATCCTGACCTCAAGTCAATCTTAGAAAACACCTTTGCCCCTTGCAACTGATCAAATAGATTATCAATTCGTGGCAATGGATACTTATTTCTGATGGTTACTTTATTTAACTGTCTGTAATCAATACACAACCACATAGTACCATTCTTCTTCTTAACAAATAACACTGGTGCACCCTATGGTCAAATACTAGGTCCAATGAAGCTCTTATCCAGTAAATCTTGCAACTGTATCTTCAACTCTTTCAATTCTATTGGTGCCATTCGATATGGAGCAATAGAAATTTGAGTTGTTCCCGGTACCAACTCAATGGTAAAATCTACCTTTCTGTCCACTGGTAACCCCGACAATTCTTCTGGAAACACATCTGTGAATTCTCTTACCACTGGTACATCTTCTAGTTTCACCTCTTTATTTTCAATGTCAACTATATAAGCCAAGTAACCCTGACACCCTTTCTTGAATAACTCTCTAGTTTGTATAGCTGAAATGAGACAGTTCGGAATAACATTTCTTTCCCTAATAAATCTGAACTCTGGCGCCCTAGTATCTAAAATACAACTTTTTCTGGAAACAATCTATTGAAGCATGATACGCAGATAGCCAATTTATACCCAAAATTATATCAAACTCTGGTATGCTTAACGGTATCAAATTCATTTTTAACTGTTTATCTCCCATTTTTACTACACAATCTCGATATTCATTAGCAACCACTACCACTTCCTCCATTGGTGTAAAAATAAACAATTTATTATTTAGTGATGAAAGTGGTCTACCCAAATGCATAGCAATAGATGATGTAACAAATGAATGTGTTGAGCCGGGATCAATAAGCACAGTAACATTTCTATCCAAAATAGAAAGTGTACCTATCACCACTTCCGGCGTTGCTTGAGCATCCTAAAGTATCATAGCAAACAATTTTCCCTAGGCTTGTGAACCGCATGTAGCATCCCTACCTCCTCTTGATGAGCTCCCCTGTGCAAAACCTCTACTAGAACTAGCAACACTACCCACTGAGGTCACTCCTGTCAACATAGGGCAGTCTCTCTTCTGATGACCCGACTGATGGCAATGATAACACTTTTCTATTTTCAACATAGGACAATCCTTCTTCTGGTGACCTTCCCTTCCACACTGAAAACAACCCCTGCCAGTACCATGTCCTCCAAAGCTACCTTGTTGTACAGATTATTGTTCGAAAAACCCTTGACATCTTCCAATACCTGCTGTCTACCCTTGAGATTCACTACCCCTTCCCCTTTCATACTGTGACTTTTGACCTCCTTGACTTGAAATTCCTTTACATCCTCTTGATTGTGATGGTTCAGATCTATTTCTTTTGTATTGTTCCATTCTTTCTTGCAATTCTTTCACATCCCTTTCGGCAATCATTACTTTATTCACCAGTCTATTGTAATTTGTTTCCTCAAAAACTGAAACTTTGGACTTAATAGCAGCCTCTAAACCATCCTGGAATATTGTACATTTATCTTCTTTATTCTGTACAAACTTAGGTGCAAACCTCGATAAAGCTGTAAACGTAGCTTCATAATCAGATACAAACATTCTATCCTATTTTAGGAGAATAAACTCCTGCTCCTTCTCCTTTCTGTAAATTGGAGGGAAATACTTCTCATAAAAAGATTTAACAAATGGATTCTAGAATATCATCTCTTTTTCTCTTGGAGTAAGCAATAAATGTTTTGTTATGTCTCACCAATAACTAGTTTCATTTTTTAACATAAATGTAGCTAAGTTCACCTTCTGGTTTTCTGCTGCACCCATCACTGCAAATATTGATTCCATTCTTCTTACCCACCCCTCTGCTTCTTCTGGTTTGGTAGTACCTAAAAATTCTAGGAGTGTTAGCTTTATAAACCTCTCATAATACGAACCTTTCTTTCTTTTCTGTTGCCTCTCCAGCCTTTCTTGCGTTATGATTTGACTTGCCACAAATTTTTCATTCTGTTATGCCAAGTTTGTTATAGCCTTCTCCATTTCCTGCATACTAATTAACTGCTCCTGTTCTCTTCCCATATCACCCTGAATGGGTTATTCTACTTTAGCCTCAATAGGAACATAAGTGGCTTCTTCCTCAGTTCCATGACAACCATTTCCCCCTTCCATTACTTTTTATCTGTAATGAATCTCAAATATAACAACATATATATATGATACATAATCACCATATATATTTATTAGTATAAAATCAAGTCAAATAAATGACTCTACTACACACCTCCTACTACCACTGCCAGTCTAGACTCTTACTACCTCCAGAACCTAGAAAACCTAGGCTCTGATACCAAAAGCTGACATACCCCAACCCAATTTACACTATTTAATAAATTGAACAATTGGAATGTATCTAACCATCTGCATTAACCTCATTCATATGTAACGTCTTCCTACATCAAAGTGCCTGCTTAACAGTTCACAATGAAAAAATAAACTATAAATCCATTTTGCAAGTTCTAAGAAAATTAAACCGTTAATTACAAGTCAAAATATTAAATTCTACTACAATATTTACATTTTATACAAAAGATGTTCCATTATTCTTTTCCCCACTTACACCATAGACTCTAGACCTAGTAGTAGCAATCCACCCTTGTTCCTGAAAAATTATAGATATGGAAGGAGTGAGCTTGAAGCCCAGTGAATGTAGCACTACTATATCAGAGTAATATAAACAAATATTATCTGATAACTTCAATTAAAATTCATTAACAAATATAACTTCCAGCTTTACAGGCATTAAAATATAGTACTCTCCTTCTAGGCTAGAGTATGGACCTTATATAATATAGTAATTTCCTTCTTGGCCAGCGTATTGATAAGCGCTGAAAAATGCGTATTTAAACCCCTTAAGCTTAGGCATTCTAGTACCTTTATCTATCTTACTTTACCGTTTGAGATTGATTTCGTATTATTTTCATTTTCAGGCACTTATCTTGAAAATAAGCTAACTCAGCCAAATAAGAGCTTAATTGAAGTAATTCTGGGATTAAACAAAGAAAGGAGCAAAGTGGAGAAAGAAAGAAGCAAATGAAGCCAAAGGTGGGTAGCAGCAAAGTTCGATCGATCCAACTTCAAGGTTCGATCGATCGAACACTTATCGATCTCAGTACTTCAAGATAAATCCAAACTTTGACCCAAAGCATAAAGTCCAAAGTTCGATCGATCCAACACCACCCTTTGATCGATCGAACATTTTTGTCCTTATTCAAATGATTGATCTTATCGACAGCTGTACCACCCACTAACCACTTTTGTCCTTTTCCCAAAAATATCTCTTAAAATATCTCAGATTTGTCTTTTCCCAAAAAGCTCAACCAGTTGGATCGATCCAGCCTCAATTCAATAGATCTCAGCCAAGTTCGATCGATCCAAGTCCAAGGTTCGATCGATCGAACTTCCTCCAGTGCGAAAAAGTTAAATTTTCAGCTTATTGAAAGTTGTCCTTTATTCAATCATTAGGGAATATTGTGTGCACGACCCCAGCTCATTTTGGGTGTGATTTGAACTACCTATATAAGGATAAGGATTGCTTTTTACAAAGGGAGGCTAATATCATTTTTCATATTATCTCTTGGAGAGCAAGCTTAGAGGATGAGGAGGCTAGAGACACCATTGGAGACTCTTCATTAACAAGGAACAGATTTCTTCCGTGGAGTTAGCCCTTGAGGGTTGGAGCAACATCACCATGAATGGCTAGACATCCTCTTGGGGCTAAAGTTAGCCCCAAACATGTTTTTTATATCTTAATCTTGTGTATTATTGAGGGATTAGTGCTGTAATTAATGTTTTGACACTTTGACATATATAGATCTTGATTGTTCAATGATTTATGTAGTTAAATGCTTCCAATTGATCATTTCATTCTATCCATATGTCTATGTATGTTAGAATAGATGTTCATATACTTGTCTCTAGATTTTGTGTTATTAATGCATGTCTATGTGTATTGATGCTATAGATTTAGAGATTGTCAAAATATAGTGCTTAATGGAATGCTCTTGTGATTTTCTTGATGGTTCATACTTATTTCTTGATGGATTATGCCTCTCCCCTAGTTTATTTTCATGCTAGTAGTGTAGATGTAGTGTAGTTGTAGTGTAGTGTTAAATGGGAGGACAATCCATGCTTGTTGTTTGATGATCCAAACTTTTGAATGCAAGTAGCATATGTCTCTAACCTTGTGTTGTATTTGGATTGTGAGCTTAATGAAAGGATTAATGACTTGTTTTGATCCATTGTGCCTTTCACATGTTGTTTAGACAATATATGCTTCATTGCTTAGATATATTGTGCCTTTCACATGATGTTTAGACAATACATGCTTAACTAGCCATCCTTGCTTGTTGAATCAACCAAACACACACACACCAATATTACAACATACCATTTGCCCTCATTAGTCACTTGTCAATAGTATAGAAATGCATTGCTTGGTGGTGATCTCTAAACCCTAAGACTCTTCTCTCTCTTACTTATTCCTAGTTGCATTCTTTTGTTATCACTTAGTTTAATTTAGTTGCTCTCTAGTCTAATCAACCAACCAACCAATTGTTTATCACTCGACCTACTAGCCCTAATAGCGATTCCACAACCTTGTTTGACCCTCACAATCCCTTGGGATGATCCCTACTCGCCCTAGCTATATTCTTAGTGAAAGGTAGTAGTGGCTTTTATAAATGTAAAACTCTTGGCCCTCGCCTAAAATTCACACTCTCAAACTTGATGGTAGTGCGACGAACCGGTCAGTTTTTGGCGCCGTTGCTGGGGATTGATTTGATTTGGCAATGTCGGATTTGTGGAATCAATTAGGATTAGTACTCTTTTGATCGTGTCTTTACTTTATTTTTTATTTTTCTTTTTGGTTACTTATTGTGTTGTTCTTACTTGACTAGGTGCATTGTTGGAGAGGAAGCAAGCAAATGAGCATTCAAGCAAAGCAAAGAAAGTAAAAAAGCTAAAAATTTAATTTTTTTTTGCTAAGCTAAGCTTTAAATTTGGAGTTGAAGTGCTGAAGGACCTTTGTGAGACTTTCTTTACTCAATCCCTTAGTTAAATCGTTGGCCCACATGGAGGCTTGTTTTTAATTTCTTAAACAAATCGTGAGCCCGCGTGGAGGCTTGTTCTTAATTTTCTTTGCATCATTATTGTTAAAGCATGGGAGTATGAATTAAATGTTTGTGGAAGAAGTCTAATTGCATTGTTGTGAAGGCATAGTGTTTGTCATTCTTTGTGCTTATTGTGTTTTGCATTATGCATGCATGGACTTCGTTCATTAAGACCCACTCTTATCCCTTTGGATTTGCATCTTGAATCCATCGTTAGAAATCCTAGAGGAAGAGGAAGTTTAAATAAAACCAATCTATCAATGGATAACCATAATGATGATCATGTTGAGGACCTTGGTCATATAGACTAACAAGGTATCCTTCATCCAAATGTGCACAATGAGAACATACAAGTACCATTAGCCATGCCTAGGCCATACATTCACCAACCACCACAACAACAAGGCCAAGCTCCATATGGAATGCCAAGGCCAATGTATGCTCCACAACCTCCCATCATCAATCAAGGAATTCAAAACCAAGGTGTTCATGTTGTACCTCAAGTAGCTAATCCACCTTTTGATTTAAGAGACCATTATGTGCCTAATGAGTATAATGCACCTACATGCATCCAATTGCCTCCATTTAGAGCACATCATT